CGATCCGGGGAATGGCAGATCGGTCAGAGATTTCAGATCCTTCGGATTCGCCTCTACACCTTCGATCGAGACCCGGTGTCCCAGATATCCTACTTTATTCATACCCCAGAAGCTCTTGGTAACACTGATCGATAAATTTCAGTTATCACATGGTTCCAGCAGGTCTTCCACCCTTTGGCACATTTGATCCCACGATTCCGTAGCGACCATGATGTTGTCAATGTATGATCTTCGTCCCAAAACCGAGTGACGATCAGGATCGTCTGCGGTCCCTGTCTGGAACACGTCCGTTGTGTTTCTTGGTCCACCTGATCGAGGGATTTTCCAAAGTCCGTACAGCGCGTTATCCACGAGGTGTTGATAGATCTGGGGCGCGTTTTTTAGTTCAAAGGGCATGCGATTCGACTCGAATAGGCCGAACGGAGTGATTAATGCTGAGATCTCGCGGGCTCGATCCGTCATGGGCACGACCCAGAGCCGCTGGCCATATCCAGTGAGCAATACCACAACGCCTTGTCAAGGTCCTCTAGCAGATCACTGATCTTAGGGATAGAGTAGACCATCAGCCTTGTGAGCCCGTTTACCAGCTTGTAGTCGATGCACAGCCTGATATCTACACCGTTACTCTTGCGTACAATCACTATTGGCCCATGGCGACGTCAAAGGTCGGATGATCTCGGCTGCTAGGAGTCCCTCGATCAGACCTGCGACTTTTTATCGGAACCGTGTGGGTACTTTCCGGGATAGCAAAGCGATCGGTTTCGCGTTCCCGACATCAATATCACATACGACGCCCCTAGCCGGCGGCGGTAGGGCGTCCCCCTTTACCGATCAAGAGGTGTTGCTTCATCCAAATGATCTGCCGGTGTTTCTCGATCTCCTCGGGGGTGGCTGATCCGGAATCTCCTACCTGCGGACCTTCGATACTGACTTCCGCGGTTGTCGAGATTTGGATTTCGGGGAGCACAGCGAGATTGCCCGCGAGAACTTCGGCTGAGAGATCACCACTCTCGTGGTAGTAGATCTCATCATCGTCCTCGGTATCGTGTCGGGGGGGGGGTCGATGCTGCTTCTTCCGCTGGTGGGTCGTGTAGATCGAAGCCCTCCGTAGGGTGGATCTGGGTGTTTACGCCGTAGTCGTCACCGGATTCGGGCTTGGTTCTGGTTTGACAATTCAGATTTTCCATTTTCGACTCGATATCCTTTGTGCCAGTCCGATCGGGGATCCTGGACCGGCACGATCTCACTTATCCCACCTCCCCCAGCATCGCCGCTCCGGTATCGATCGGCCTTGGGGATTGTCGGTGGTGTAGGTGGATGATCCCTTTCCGGATTGGGCAACCCTGCCTCGATCTGGGCTGCTTTGGCCGTTTCCGCCCGCGATGGATTCTCGAGGGTCGATATCAACGCACGATCCCGGTTGATGTCGACGGTTTCGGCACGTCGAAGTAGCGATCGTAGTGTGGGGTACGTTGGTCGCTGTACTACTCGCCCTTCAGGACCCACCAAAGCTTCTGGATGCTCCGGTCGAGTATCTACCGTC